GATGAACCCGGCGTTCAAAAGCTTTTGCGTTTCGACCTTGACAGCTTCTCTTCTTTTGCCACCAATCTTTCTTTGCTTCTAAGATATAGGTCGTGCCTCTCTATGGATAGCTAACCTATGACAAATGAAATTGGGATTTATCCTAGGCATATCTGCACTACTCCATGCAAAGAGATCAGCATTTTCAGTAAGTATTGTCATGATTTTACCTTGGACATCAGGGTCAATATGCATGGCAATCCTGGTGCATTGGTTTGGCTTCTTGCCGATTTGAAATTCAATTAACTCGTCAATGGGATTAGGCCGTTGATCATGCATATCGATTCGGGGATCCAAGTCGGTCATTTCCCTTGTACCGATGTGAGCAATGATAGAGGAAGTTGGCGCCTCAGGTTGACGATGTGGGGGTGTAATCTTGAAACTTTCAGCGTAGCATTTCCTTACAATTTGTTGATTGGCCTTTACATCTATTATGTGTCCATCCGTGCCTGGGAACTTCATAGTTAGATGAGGCGTTGACACGACTGCTCCTAATTGATTCAACGTTGGTCTCCCGATAAGAATGTTATAAGAGGTGGCAGCGTCGACCAACAAATATTTCACCAGGATTCTCCTTGAGTTTTGAGCTATACCAAAAGAAGTTAGTAATTCAATGAAGCCACGAGTATGAACTCGCTCACCTGCGAACCCGACGAGAGGCTCGGAGTATGGTTGAATCATACTATGAGGAATGTCAAGCTTCAAGAAAGTCGGCCAATATAGAACATCGGCAGAACTACCTTGGTCAATCAACATTTTTTGGACTTCCCAATTGGCCACCTCGACTGAGATGACCATTGGATCGTCTTGGTTCAAGCTGATACCTTCATAGTCATCATCTGTGAAAATGATAGGAGGGGTTGGTGTTTCTGACTTAGATCCTGAGTTATGGCAATTGTTGACGTTTTGGACAGTGCGTAGATGTCGCTTCCTGGCCGAGTTGGAACTTCCTCCTCCTGCAAACCCTCCTGAGATAGTATGGATAACTCCACGTATGTTGTTTCCTTCTGAGGATTTATCCATATGTTGTGGATCAGCGCTGTTTGTGTTTGGTTTGCTTTCCTCGCGTGTATTTGTTTGATGATATTGACCTTGTTCAGATCGTCCTTGATAATTCTGGTATCGTCCTTGATATCGGCCAGGAAATCGGCCACGTCCCCTTCCGCGTCCTCGGAAGCCCCCACGAGAAGCTTGGCCGCGTTGGATATATTGTCCCAGGTGACCTGCCTGAATTAATTCTTCAATTTTGTCTTTGAGGCTCCAGCATTCCTCTATTGTGTGTCCATGATTTCTGTGGTATCGACAATGCTTGCTCTTGTCAGGATTGGCCGAGTTGTGTGCCGGGGGAGGTAAGGATATCAGATCTGCATGGTTAGCTTCCTCTAAAATGTTAACTCGAGGAGCATTAAGAGGTGTATAAAAATCATGTCTGGGACCTCGTGCTTGACGAGGTCTCTTAGATCTTTGATCGAAGTCGTTCTTTGGCTTCTCCTTACTGCTGGACTCGCCCCTGGTAGTGATACTGTCACGGACCGAGTTACGGAACTCAGCGTGTTCCTCCATTTGAATATACCAAGCAGCGCGTGCTCTGAGTTCATCCATGCTTACCGGTTGGTGTCGGCAGAGGCTGTCAACAAAAGGCCCGGGTTTAAGTGCCATAAGCATGGAATGAAGGGCAACCTCAGGATTTAGGTTGCGGATTTTGATAGAGACGTTGGCAAAACGCTCCATGAAATGCCGTAAAGATTCGTCATCCTGTTTTCGTAGATTTGAAAGCGCGGCCGATGTGATGTGATGAGGTCTACTGGTGGCGTATTGGGCGGAGAAAAGGCGCACTAAAGTGTTGAAGTTGTCAACCGATCTGGGTGGCAATTGGGTATACCAACTGAGGGCGGCACCTTTAAGGGAGGTGGGGAACACACGGCACATGATGGAGTCCTCATTTGTGTAGAGGTTGATTTGAGTGATGTATGCATCGATGTGCTCATCTGGGTCTGAGGGGCCATCATATCGCTCAATGTTTAACGGTTTCCAGGTGGGTGGAAGAGGAACTTCCATGATTCCATCGATAAAAGGATGTCGACAAACCGAGTGACGATCATCGATTGGACGACTAATATGGGTCTGCTCAGAGCGATGAGACCGAGTTGGATAGGTGGGATCTGGGGAAGAATGATGTTCCTCAGTGGCAGGGGAAACATGGCTGGCATGGTGTGGTGGTTGATGGTGTTGCCATTGAGTTCTAAAAGCAGCGTGCTCAGCACGCATTTGTTGGAGATCGGCCTCATGTTGCTTACGAAGACTTTCCATTGCTTCTGCATGTTGCTGTCGCATCAACTCTATCTGCTCAAGTAACCGTCGCAAAGTTGGGTTGTCTTCCATGTTTGATGCGCTTGAACGTAGTGGACTCGTTGCTCTATTGGTCTGACTTCGGGTTGAAACCATAAGGATGAAGGAGGAGAAAGGTTTTACCAGGCCCTCCTTCTAGCGCCAAATGTACTTACACGAATCAGGTCGTCTCCCTAACTCGAATAAGTCGTCGAGTCTTACCAAGGTTGTATGAGGTCGATTAATAGGCTGAATTCCCTCTCTCCGGTCTCCTTGTTCTGGGGTGTCTCGGATGTACCTGCAAAAAGGACTCCGACGATCAAGTTAGTTGCCTCCTCAATATTGTATATTGCTTATATTATTACCTATCGTGGTTTCCCGTGTAACCGTGGTGTAACTGCTGTATGGTTATCTTCCGAGAATTCTTCTCGGTTAAGTCATGTTCAATGTTGTTAATATGCCGAGGTTGTCGAGGTGTATTACCAATCTCCCTTATTTCATGTGACACCTCAGCGTTAAACGTATACTTTAGTTTGACTAAATAGTCACCTCGGTCAAGATTGTCTAATGAACTCGGTTGAGCTCGGCCTTGAGCCAGGGTAGTACAATTTGTTTTATAGTTAGAATCCTCAAACTACGGTTTAGGTAATTCAAATTACATATTAAATCTTTTAAACTTAAATTTATTTATATTTACCTCTAAAAAACATTTTTATTTCTTTATTTTATTGATTTTTTTAAATATTTTAGAAAGAGGAGAATTAATTTTTTTTTATCTTTTTAAATTAATAAAGATGAATAATTGCTCTACGTATAAAAGTAAACTTAATTGTAGATTATCTTAATCTTAATTTAATAAAAGTTATTTTAATTAAAAGTGAGTTTTTTTTTATCCATTTAGTATTTTTCATCCAATTAAAAATGAGTTTGAAATTAAGTAAGTTATATTTGAATTTTTTTTGTATTGAAAGTAAGTTTGTAGAAAAATATAATTAATTTTTCAACCAATATAAAAGCTAATTAAGTACTTACTTTCCTTAGAATTGATTTAAGAATTAAAATCCTATTTGAAACATATACCTAACACAACCAAACATATTGAAAATTAACTTAACTCACATTTATTGCAGCAAACTTGAAGTTCAACATATCTCAAATCAAAACATGTATACTATGTCAACTAACACTAATTTAATTAAGCACTTTTATCTCAACGTAAAAAATCAATAAAATAAATATATGTCTGATCCATTTTACTTTAGAAAAATAGTAATTACTTACTTTAAAAAATCAGTAATATTTTCAATCAAATACTTTTTAATATAAGAGGAAGGCTGAAATATGTTTAAAAAACAGTTTCATCTCATTTGGTTAAAGATATACAATTTAAATTTGAAACTAAGAATTAAAGTAACTTAGGTTTGATTATTAAATTTTTCCATGTAAATTTCATCATAAATTTTTCTCGATGTCGGTGATTTTAAGTAATCTTGTAACAAAAGTTTCTTTTCTTGAGCTAAACTTTTAAAAATAAAAAAGGTAATGAAAAAAGTTACACCATTCTTTTAATTTATGTTTTATTTAATTATTTTAAATTAGTTTTTTAAAATTTTAAAAACCATACATTATTATCATTTTTTTAAAAAAATTTGGATTGACATGATTAACATTTTATACATATGGTATAACAAAAGAATGACACAAAATAACATTGAATTAGACCGAAATAATAAAATTGAATGAATTTAAAAATTAAGAAATTAAATTAAAAAATTAATAACACAGTGCAAATTTAACCAATTAAATAAAAAAAAAGCCTAAAAAATTGAAAAGTTGATCCGTTGAAATGAAGGTAGAAGAAGGAATTTTTTACTGGAATAATATTTTTTTTTAAAAAAATTACAAGAATGATCACTGTGCAGGATTATTTACCAAGATAGAACCATTTACTGTTCAAGCTCAGAATTCGGTTCCCGGGGAACCGAATTCTGAGCATCAAAATGTAATTTTTTTTGTTTTTTCAACTCAGAATTCGGTTCCCGGGGAACCGAATTCTGAGTTGGTTTTAAATTTTTTTTTTTTTTTCGTGTATGGGGCAAATGTGGGCTGATCTGGGAAGCGGAACGGCCCGTTCCAAAAGCAGAACGGGCCGTTCTGCTTAAAGAAACAGAGTGCAAATTCTTTAAGCAGAACGGGCCGTTTCACATTCAGAATTTGCACTCTGTTTCTTTAAGCAGAACGGCCCGTTCTGCTTTTGGAACGGGCCGTTCCGCTTCCCAGATCAGCCCACATTTGCCCCATACACGAAAAAAAAAAAATAATTTAAAACCAACTCAGAATTCGGTTCCCCGGGAACCGAATTCTGAGTTGAAAAAACAAAAAAAATTACATTTTGATGCTCAGAATTCGGTTCCCGGGGAACCGAATTCTGAGCTTGAACAGTTAATAGTTCTATCTTGGTAAATAATCCTGCACAGTGATCATTCTTGTAATTTTTTTTTAAAAAAATATTATTTCAGAAAAAAATTCGTAGAAGAAGTGTAACAGTTGTGCAAGAAGGCGTGGAAAGTGGAAACCCATGGCATTGGCATGTCTGTTTTAAGAATACCAAACCTCACCCGAAAGCCGAACCCCCACAAGTGATGACTTACGTGGCATTCTCTCAGAGACTTTCACCTTCCATGCGTCACAATCGCGTAACCCAAACCTTACCGTTCCCCGTTCTCTTTTTCTCTCTTCGTATCCTTAGCTTTCGGGGTGCAGAGTTTGTTTGTTGAGCCAAAGAGCCATTTTCTGATTCAACCAAATCTAGGGTTAGGGATTCCATTTCCCAACTCCCTCTCTTTTCCGATTCTTTTCCCTTTTACTTTTCCTTCCTCCGACAATTTTTCCCTCTCTCTTGCAGATTACGACAATTGCTCCTCCATCTTCTTCGCCCCGAACGACCAGCTCCTTCCCAAAGAAACATGCTTTTATTTTCCCGGGAAAATTCCGCTCCCGTTTTTCTCACCCAACCTCTTGTCCTATATATCATTTCTTGTTCGATTTGTTGCAGAATTCCAATTTCCTAGGGTTTCTCGATCTATTCATCCACAATTGCGATTTGGGATAATTGGATTTTTTTCCCATTTTTTTCTGTATATATTTTTTAATGTGATTGTCTGGGTTGTTGTAATTGAGGTGTTGATAGGATACACGAGGGGTTGTGATTTGTAAAAAGTGTGGTTCATAATACTATAGGTATTTGTTGATTAGGTTTCTTAAATATCCGGATATTACTATAATTGCTCTGTGATTTCGAAGCGAGTTATGCATATAGAGGAATTGAAGGGAGGTGAGGTGGTAGAGGGTGGGGGGGAAGGAGGATCGAGGTTTGTGGGTTATGGTGCGAAAAGGGTGCTGGTAGGAGCAGGCGCTCGTGCGCTCTTCTATCCGACCCTTTTTTACAATGTCGTTAGGAATAAGATTCAGGCTGAGTTTCGATGGTGGGATAAGGTTGACGAGGTATGATTTCTTGTGCTTGAGCTTACTTTGTATTCAATGATGTTAGGTTGTTTTTTGTGTTTGTTTTTACCTTCCGTGTAGTGTTGGACATTGGTTTTACATGTTATGCATTGCAACAAATTCAATGAGTGTGTGTGTGTATGTGTGTGTGAGTATCAACGTATAGAAGGAAGAATTCTTGTGTGTTAAAAATGTTGTTCTTCTTTTATAGCATTGATTGAATATGCCTGCTGTGGTTTATCGCTCTTTCATGTTATGGCTGGCTGTATTGAGGTGATGATGCAACTCCTATGGACCTGAAAACTAGAGAAGGATAATATCTCACATACTGTTAATTTTTATCTTGACGAGGATATTGATATCAACGATTGTGATATGTTCTGATTACTAACTACTAAGTTCTAATTTATGTATTTAACGTAATGCTTTCTATTGTGATTTGTCCTAAGCAAAATATTTTTGCCCATGTTTTAAATATTTGGTCATTGATGACTGATGGCTTTAATTGCCAGACCCAACCTGTTTCGGATTGGAACACTAGTTACTGATGGTTATAGAACAGAAAAGAATTTCTTGGGATAAGAGGATTTGAGAATCCCATTACGGATCTTAAATGTTTGGGGTTATTTGGGTTTCAAATGGAAAGACAATTCTAATTTGCACTGTAGAAATTTGAACTGTTACCTTAAATGAAGCAGATTTTTACATTAATATCATTACAATGCAAAACTCGTGTAAATAAATTGCATTTTTTTTTAATTTTTGAAATTCCAAACTTACTGTAAGTAAAATCCTATTTCTCGGATTTACATGGGTTTCAAATGGAAAAGATGATTAAAATTTGCACTTAGGAAATTTATCTGCTAATTCAGAATGTATCTGACTCTGTTTTCTGAATCAAAAGATGGCTCATTATTTTTTACCTTTCTGCTGGTTGTTATTATCCCCCAATAGTTTTGTCTTTAATCAGTTGAGTCCAATGACAATGTATGATTCATGTAGTCAACATCACCAAGTAGGATCAAACTGTTGTTTTGGTATCTTTGCCATGCGGGAACTTCTATTAGTTGATTTTTTATATGTTAGTCGTCAAGGGAAACGTGCCCTAATTCATTCTGGTACAATTTGTTGCTATCATTTATTTCTCATCCATTTCTCTAGCATGGTATATTTTTTCACTTTTGATATCATTGCCATTTGTGGAGAAGGGTTGTTGTTGTTTACTGTTTACAGGATTACTTTGTATGATATATATAAACTTTTTCTTGACTTATATACGTATATGTAATACGAGTGTTTGAAGCTATCATATGCATATGCTTTTGCGGTCATGGGTGTCTCCTTTTTTATTTTAACTGAGATGACATTTTTAACTTGGTTGCACATGTAAATTTTCTTTCGTTGTTTGTGTGACACAAGGTTGCACCTAAATCTGATGCACTTCATTTTCAGTTCATATTGTTAGGTGCTGTTCCATTTCCTATTGATGTTCCCCGCTTGAAGGAGCTTGGTGTTCGTGGGGTCATTACATTGAATGAGCCATACGAGACTTTGGTTCCAACTACATTGTATTATGTGAGTATTCTGCAAATCTCTTTTAAATTGCTGTTACTGTGTTATCTGAGGGTAAGGTTTTTTTTATTGATTAGCACCTGCTTTTCTTGCTGAATCCTTTTGACTACTGTATTGTTATATAAGGATGAAGTTAAATACTATAACTTCAAAATTGGCAGTTAATGTTCATAGGGTTTTATGCCATTTCTTTGTGTGAAGAGAGTTGCCTTGTTTGTAGTGACTCGCTAATTTCTTTCAATTATGTTTCCTTGTCATAAAAATTTGATGATTAATTTCCTTCTAGTGGCTCTGCAATTTCCTGAAAGTATTTGAACTTTGACTCTGAAAAAAAACACATAATGTCATTAGATAAGCAAGTATACTTGGAAATGATTAAGGCTAATAAACCACAGGGCTTTTTTATGAATCAGAAGACTAAGGGAACACTGTTACTGTTAATTTATAACCACACATTTGTTGTTTAATGCTTGCAAGTGTATCTGATGCAAGTGTAACCTGGTGTTTATAATGATTAGAAATAATTTTTTTACTTGTGGGATTAATTATATTTGAAAAGATTAGTGCTATGAATTACTGTGTGTGTGATGTGTTCTTGTACGCACTTGTGTTCCAGGAAAAGTAGGGCGGACAACACTTGTTTGTACGGCATGCTAGTAAGACTAGGTTTCTGTAGTTCTTTGTAAATATGTGTTCCGTTGGCATTGTGAAATTTTAATTGCATTATTATAGCACTGGCTGTTTTCATGGCTTCAAAAGTTCATGTATTTTTATATGTTTAATTTCCTATTAATTTATTGTTAAACTTGACAGGCTCATGGAATTGACCATCTGGTGCTTCCTACTAGAGATTACTGTTTTGCTCCTTCATTGCATGACATAAGCCGTGCTGTGGACTTCATACATGGTCAGTATTATAATAATCAGTAAACTAAAATGATATCCTACTGTTTAGTGGCATATACAGTTTTGTTTTTGTAAGTCAAAATTGATTATTGATTTAAAATATTTGTAAGATTTGCATTGAGTGGCTAACAAAATGGAAGCATCAATGTCACTAGTGTGCTGTATGCTGTGTATTACACTATTCTTTTATGAAGTCTTTTCATTCTCTCTTTCCATGAAAAAACACAAAAGAACCGATAAAGGACACAGACTCTTAAGCAAAAATTGATCTATATTGATTAAATGCAGAGGAGTTATAAAACTCCATCAGCAGGTTGCTTTGTAACTTTCTTTTATAATTTAGTTATTACAACCATTTGTAATTATTGACTTTTTCTGTATGTTTTATGTAGAAAATGCATTGTCTGGACGCACTACATATGTCCACTGCAAAGCTGGACGTGGTCGCAGCACGACTATTGTTATTTGTTATCTGGTTGGTGCCACAACTTAAAAACACGGGGGGAAAGATCTTTACAGAAAAAGGGGTTGGTACTGTGACTGGCTGATTGTTCTTATGTTTTGTGCTTGTGTGTAGGTGCACCACAAACTGATGACGCCCAATGCTGCATATGATTATGTGAAATCAATTCGGCCAAGGGTGCTTCTAGCTTCCTCTCAGTTGCAAGTACGTGTTCTGTTTGTCTCAGTCATTGTAATTGTTAATTTTGAAGCTTTATGGAGTTTGCAGCTCCAATTTTCCCAACTGAGTAAGTTTGTCTATGAAAATGAGAATAAAATAATTATATTTACTATGATTTTGAGCCTTCTGTGAGAGTGGGTATGCTGATACTTGTGAATAGCATTGCTGTAGCTTTAAAAGTTGAAGCTAATCTGATTTATTCTTTCTTGATCCAATTTTTGGACCATAATAATTCTCTTGATTTGTGTTTGGAAAATGATTAATAGTAATTATTAATCCTCATAAATTAATTGTTGAAATTTCAGGCTGTTCAAGATTACTACTACCATCTTATGGTGAGGAGGGCTGTTGTACGTGCTCCCACAGCTAATATATTAGTGAAGGCTTCTGAGGTGGCGGGAGCTTCACGAGATCTTGTGATGTTTGATGACAGTTCTGTGGTGATGGTAACAGAGTCAGATCTAGAAGGTTACGACCCAAGTAGTCAATCAGGAAGCATGGCCAGTGAAATATGGGCAGATTTAAGTGTTGTATACCGTGTACGAGTTGCTGGACAGGCGGCATTGGCAAGAATATCATGCCTTTGGCTGCGATATGGTACTACCAACGACAAGATTTCAAAGGAGAGGGAAAGCAGTGTCTCTATCAGGGCTAATCACTTGGGAGAAATTAGTGTCGATATCCACGTCTACTGAAAAATCAACCTTTTCTTTTTCTGCCCAATAATATTGTATATTTGCCTGGCCTGAATCTATTACTCGTTTTCCTCTGTATATTCTGTTGTTTGCTCATTTGAGTTCAAATGATGAGTGTCGTGCGGGTCAGTCAATTAATGTGCATTTACACTGTTATATTCATCTAATCATTACTATGTCTGGGCAGTAACTTCAAATGTGGAACTGGAGAAAGCCTCCTTTTTTCGAGGGCTATGAATATACCCATATGAAAGCTCTTATAATTTTGTAGATTTTAATTAATTGCCGTATTCAAGCGGTATGAGTTTATGCATGCGAAAATTACTGATTTTGTAGCTTTTAATAAATTTTATAGGGAACAGTGTATTAGGAAGTGTTTTAGTACTTTAAATATCATTACTAGGACGTATATATTAAGCGCATTTCTAATCAGTTATTAAAAATCACAATTTTGTCAAAATAAAAATCGTTAAGAGTGTTATGAAGATTATTGAAGAATCTGCCCTCCTTAAAAAAGTTCTGTTTATTTCAATTGACTCGGTATAACTTTAATTAAAAGTCATGGGTAATACTAATTAAAATATAATCATCGATACTAATTCAACCGAATACAAATTTTCGTTTCTCTTGTTCTGACAGCGTTTAACCCCTCCACTTTTCATCGATATTAAGTCAACCGAATATACTCTAGTTTATTTTTGGGGATTCCTTTTTCTTAATGTGTACTACTTAAAAACCTTTACGGGAATGATGATCCTTCGAGTAGTTCAAGGCTTCATACTTGGTTGGAGACAACTTGGTTTGCGGTGTTTAAAATAAATTAGAATTTATTTTAAAAACAATTTCTATTATTGTCTTTATACTATGTGAATTGTAAAATTGAGAATATTATAAATGACTTAATGTGCAATGTTTTTTTTTGTTTATTTAAGTAATTTATAAATATACTGTAGTAAGGTGGACTGTTTTTTTTGTCTCGATCTAACAGGTTATTGTCATTCTTATCAAATGTTCAATTCTCATGGCGAAGAAGAAGGGGCGTGGGAAATGAGACACTAACTACTATTTACGGTATATATAATAAGGTTTAAAAAAGTCAATACATAATAAAATATTTAGCTTCCATCGGATTCCTCCCAATTTGGGGGAAGAAAAATGATTGTTGGTAATGAAGTGGCATAGATTTCATTATATCTAACAAAATTCAGATGACAGTATTAATTATCTTTCCACTCCATTTCTTTATTTCATCTATATCTAAACATTGTCCAACTCTTGGCACACTCTAGCAGCAAATAATAACCCAAAGCAGATCTTAGAAATAAACACTCCACACAATCAGATTAACGGTATGCCTCAACATTTTTGTTTGTACCTTAATTAATGTAACATCTACAACACAACCACTTCATTTTGAAGCATAAACAGACTATCGTCTTAGGAATATATTCCACATGTAAGCTATATCACAGAAGGAAGAAAGAATAAGAATGGGAAGTAATAAATGAAAATGATATCATAGGTGATCCCGCGCTAGACTCATTGGTTTTTCTTTTATAATGGTGACTTCACCGCTGCCATTTGCTGTAGTTAGCAGATGGTGAGTAGAATGCTCGTCTTCACTATCTGACTCGGAGAGGCCATCAGTTTCTGATCCTTCATCGTCTGCAATGACACATGTTTAGATTCTTACCCCACAAGGCTTGATTAAACAAAGTGTTTTACAATGTCAAATTTTTCGTATTAACAATAGAAAGAGGCAGACATATCTTGTTTTTCACAAAAGAAAGGTAACTCCAACTCTTTCTGGTTCTCATGAATCACATTGTAGCGCACTTATGTTTTTCATTTTTCATAGTAAATAATAAAATGTAACTATATATTGAAAAGATAGCAGATATGTAATATGCTATGTGCCATCCATAATAGATACTTGTTTCTTGGACAGCCACAAAAAAATCAACCTGAAAGAGACCAAATTGTGTAAAACAATTGACTAATACTGCTGTCTCCATAGCTTACCAGAATGTGTAAGGTGTTCAGGGAGATGTGTAACAGCAGCAACCTGAAGGCTTTCTGGCAGAAGACAATTGCAGAAAGAACCTGAAATTTCATACTGGATGAGTCATATAACAACTACACTAGTTGATGCAATCACCAGCTTCACAGAATCGATTCCCAATTGTAAGCAACTGCAGTAACTCACTCTCACTTCCCATTAGACTCTGACAAAACTTATTTCCACAGTAAAATGAAAAGCAATTTCAAGCATACACGGCAATAATTTAAAACATAAACTACGGATGGAAGACAATACAAGGTTGTCAATCTCGAGAGTTTACGTAATCTCGTAAAAATTCCATAAACTCGTATCGTAAACTCGTAAGAGATTACTCAATAAAAAAATATATAAAAATAATTAAAAATAACAATAATTAAACATCTTAACTTCATATTAAAGAGTAAAATAGCAAATTATATTAATAATAAAATAATTTATTAAATATAGCGGGATTGCGTTATTCTAATTTATTTATATATATATATAAAATAATTTATAATACAAATAATTAATAATATACATATAAAACAGCAGAGGAGAAGTGGTTCGCGTAGGGAGAAGTAGTTCGCCCACGGAGAAGACAGCGGAGCCGCACAGTTTGCCTTTGCCGTGGACTCGTGGAGAAGAAGACAGCGGAGTCTTGCGCGGAGGAGAATGGTGGCTTGCGCACGGAGAAGACAGCGGAGCCGCGCAAAGGAGAATGGTGGCTCGCGCACGGAGAGGACAGCAGAGCCGCGCGCGGAGGAGAAGCACGGAGAACAGTGGTCGTGCACTCGTTCGAGAGAGAAAATGAGAGTCACGAGTGCCCTAACACAACAAGCGTTTTGTGTAAGTGGGGAAAAAAAAAGTAATCTCTTAAACTCGGAACTGATCTCGCGAGATTATATGAGATCACCAAGATTACTCCGAGATTACTCAAAAACGAGTTTACTCCCGAGTTATACAGGTAAGTTGTCCTAATCTCGTAAACTACGAGTTTACGAGTTATCATTAGAGATTGACAACCATGAGACAATATACTAGTGTAAATTACACGTGCATGTTGAATTCATAGTAATACACAGAAAGACAGACAAAATGCAGCTTATCTACAATCAGAATAAGCAAGCTAAAAGAATCCTCACCAACACGAGCCAGCCGATTTACCCATGAAGGAATAGGCTTTCCAGTAAGCTCTTGGCAAACTTCATCAGTAAAATGATTGCAATTCTTAGCAATCAGATGGTAAGTGTCACCGTGATATTTTGCAGAAAGGCGCTCAATGAAAGAAGTAAATTCTGAATAAGACATATCAGTGCTGCCTAACAATACCGAACGTCTGAAGATGAAGCCAGGACAGTTTCTGGGTTCCACCTCAAATACACCACTTGTTGAATATTCATGTGCTCCAAAGCCATATTCCATGCCATACACTATTCATGAAAACAATAAGCTAAAGTCAGTTCAGGAGGGTATAAAAACATCAAAGCGCTGTAAAGTTTAAGGTAATGAGCAAGTTTGATGAATCTAGTGTCGCACGATTAATCTTTGACTAAGTTTAGTTTTGATGAAGCCACACACTTGTAATGCCAAGATATAATAGCTTGTTTAAGCTTGTGCTATGTCTTTGGTTAGCTAGCCGTATCTTGATGTTGCTATGCTTGATGCAAAATGATCCATTGAGGCTCAAACGTAAAAAGGATTTAACAAGTGAAAAGAGTTTTTTTTTTTTTTTTTTTTTCTTTTATGAAACTAAAATGAATCAAGAGCGTAAATTGAATTTTTATAATTGATCCATTAAGTTTGGGTATATGTTAAAAATTTAGTAATGTGTAATATGTTATTTGTCATTGCAAAACTGATTTCTGGTGCAGAGTGCAGGGTAATCGATTACACTCAGGATAATTAATTATGCTCTTTTGAAACTGGTTTAGTAAAAGGAAACGCATGCTGCAATAATCAATTACAACTAAGGTTAATCAATTATTTTGCTCTGTAACTGGTTTCTGAAAAGGATGCATATTTGATAATAATGGATTAAATAAGATACTAATGGGTTACATTGATCCTGAACCCAGGCGTTCTATTGAACACATTAATTGATTGCTTATAGTAATAACCAATTACAATAAGTTGCAGAACACAAAATAACAGAATAACAAATTTCCTCTCTAGCCCACCTCTCACTCTATAAAAAGGGATTTAATATAACTCTAAAAAGAGAGGAACCTATGAAATTGAGGGAGAGATACTTGTGCTTTGATATTCAAGAATCAAATGGATGTTCTTCATTTGAAGCACAAGAACAGTCCAAGATGATGAGCTTCTAATTGTTTGTAGATGCCATGATAAGGTGATATCTTTCCTATGATCTTGTTTGTTTTGTGAATCGGGGTTTCTCATTGTTGATTGTGCAGAAAGGGTTTCTATTCTTTAAGTTCTTTCTAATAGAGTTTTGAAAGGTTTTTGTAAGTCTAGTGTTGACTTGTTTGCTGAATTTCTTGGAAGGATTCTAAAGATTAGTGAAGGATTCTATAGGTTTTGCTACGGAGTGAATGTAGATCAAAGTGGTAGTGGATAAAATCTCTGTCTGATCTTCATCTGTGATATTTGAGATGTTTCTTTATTTCTATATGTTGTTATCATGTAGGCATAGTAGTCAATCCCGGATAGCGGCGCGGAGCGGCCGACCCTAAAACTGGGATAGCGGGATGACGCAGAGCGGGATAACCGCTATTTAAATATTAATTTATATATATTAAATAATTAATAATATATATATAAAAGCTAAAAAAACAAAAAAATAACTCTAAATTCATGCTGCTGAAATAGAAATAGAATTTTCTGAAATTAAAAGTAAAATTTTCTGAATTAAATTTAATCAGAAATTAAAAATAAAATTTGCTGAATTAAATTTAATCAGAAATTAAAAATAAAATTTTCTGAATTAAATTTAATTAGAAATTAAAAATTAAATTTGCTGAATTAAATTTAATCAGAATTTAAAAATAAAATTTGTTGAATTAAATTTAATCAGAATTTAAAAATAAAATTTGTTCAATTAAATTAAATCAGAAATTAAAAAAAAATCAGTTGAAATAATTTAATAAATAATTAAAAAAAAATATGTTGCATGTTGCATAAAAGGCATCCTCGAAGGAGAATAGAAGGAGAATAGAAGACAAACGCGCATCGGAGCTTGCGGCCACGTCGGAGCTGCGTCGGACCTGGAGGTGCGTCGGAGTCCGAGGTGCGTCAGAGCTGGAGGTGCGTCGGAGCTGGAGGCGCGTCGGCGATGGAGGTGCGTCGGAGCTGCACGCTGCTCGCACGATAGCCAGAGAAGAAGAAAGGGAGAGACGAAAGGAGGGGTTTGGTTTGGATGAGTCTGAAATCGCGAGAGAGAAAGGAAGGATTAGGGCAAAAAAAACCCATTGAAAAGACCGACTTACCCTTAATGAAGGGTAAGTCTGAAATCGCGCCGCGATTCCGCGATTTGGGCCGCTCCGCTCCGCCTCCAACGCGGCCGCTCCGCTCAGCCTCCAACGCGGCCGCTCCAGCCGCTACACAAATCCGCTCCGCTCCAGCAGCCAGATTGCGGGGTGAGGCCGCTCCGCTCCGGAGCGCCGCGATAGCGGCCGCTCCGGCCGCTATTGACTACTATGCATGTAGGATCATATAGTTTGCATTAATCAATCTCTGTACATCTCAATTACCTATTGAATTGTTACTATAAACTTTTTAAAGAAATTCAAATTTATGAACATTGATAGAAATTCAAAATGGCAAACTACATGATCTTATATTGTCATCATATTGGATAATATAATTTGCCATGTGTCTCACAAGCAGTACATCATAGCTCCTGATAAAAAATTTGTTTGAGAGATATAGTTCTAAAGTCCTTATAAAATACTATCTGTAAATTACTTTTTCTGCATTAGTAACTTGTACATACAATGTTGCAACTGGTAGTTAACAATCTCCAAAACTTTCAAACTACGAATGAGATTTTTGTCAAAAAAACAGCTGTCACAGGAGGACATATAGGATTTGCTAAAGAGGACTTCCACTAATGGCTTGAACACAAACATTAAGTAGGCCCAAGTTTGACCTACGAAGCATAATTTATGATAGTCCTCAGTAGCCAATATATGCAATGCATCCTTTTGTTATACGTTCATTTGGTACTACTTAAGCTCAATATGGGCATATGGGATTTTCTTTTTCAACCTTTCACTTAAACAATTTAACAAAACCAATAACCATCATCCGAACACACTCAAAACCAGTGCAGTGAATTCCAAACAGTATAATCCAAGTTGCTTCCTCTACTAGGAACAAGTATTGCTGTTTTTTTTTTTTGGGGGTGCGGGGGGGGGGGTGGAAACTGATAATATTTTAGTGTAACAAAATGAACCACAAGAAAAATGTAACAAGGAAATGTAAATGGTTTATGACATAAACGATTTACAAAATGAATTAGAAGGACAATGAAAAGCAAATACTAAGTTAAATAAAAACATGAAAACTAGTTTGTAGGAGCTATTGTTATTCAGAAATCAGAACCCACAAAATTAAGACAACCATCCAGGACTTGATACTGCAAGATGCAAAACTCATAAGAGTAAAGTGCAACAGTAACACTTCCAAAATCTCAGACATGGACATTAGAAATGAAAATTACCACGTTATTAAAAGGTTTAGTATATTTAACTTGTAAATAAAGGCTCAAATCAAGTGAGGGAATCAAAGATGAAAATAAAGCATGTATGACTCAAAAGTAGCAAGTACATGAGGTTGCCATATCATTAATTAGCTCAAGACAACAGAGAGATGGAATGAAGGGTCCCACTGACAGTAGATTAAAATAACTCATAAGAGACCATATAAAGATATACCAAGAACTAGCCATTGATTTTCTCAAAACAATCTTAGCAGTGTATATATCTAAAAGATTTGTTTCCAGCTAGAGTGAGAAAGGTGTTAATTAATTACGAGGTATAAGCATCCCTACCTTAACTAAGAGCATGATCACAAAAAAAACAAAAACAATGAAGAATTATTGCATTTGAAAATCTCAGTGTCACTCAACTCTCAAGAGATAGCACTAGGTCACTGACCATGAATGGAGAACCACAGTTCTCCAATGACAATACATATAAGATCTTTTGGCAAGACAGCAATATATTTGTAATCATATGTGTTATTACTTTATTTGTGTTTTGAGCCTTTAGCATGATGCAACATATACCCAAAATGACACATCTGTGCTCAACAGAATGCTACATTTGATCTTCAAATATACTGCTTAGTTATTTTTTTAATCATAAAACCAGAATTGAACTGCATCAACATAAATAATTCCAAAATCTAATAGATCACAAGCTACAATGTTTTTTTTTTTCAAGAACATCACAAAAAAATAAAAGCAAGGCAAAAATAGACAGAAGGAGAAAAAGGCAGAGTAGAGAAAAGAGAGACTACAAGTATAAAGGGAAAGGCAAAATAATAATTCAATTAGTCATTAAAAACAAGGAACCAACGTGTCAAACAAACTATTGCATACTAAAGTAATCCAAATGTATTTGAGAAATTTTAGGAATAAAATGTCAAACCTTAGATCCAACAGGCACACTAAACCATAATAAAGGACTAAATAATTAAACAGAAGTTTAAAATAATAGCAAACCATATCTAAATTTCCACATAGCCATATGCAATTTTTTTAAAGTAAATTCCAAACCATCAAGATAACTAAAAAGTCTAGAGTCATATGTATCAAATTTTTCTCCCAACTTTACCATCCCAATTTAATGAACTTCCATATTGACGATCTACTAGAAATGAAGTGTCATCATCACTCATCATATCATGAACGTGAAGTTCCCACCAGCCTAAAGACTGAATCATATCAGAATCCCATATACCAACCATTTTAACTTTTAAGCAATATCTCCTATTTTCACCATCAAACAGAATTTTCTAAAGGTATACACTACAAACCCCAATTAAAACACTACAAGAAACCTCAACCATGAGCATCACCTACTGTCTGGTAATGCTTTATCAAGATTTCTTCTTCTGGTTGATCAATACACACGCAACTTCATTCGCACCACAGATTATAACAAGTTTTATACTACTTCCGCTTCAGTTTTTCTATTCTCCTCTTCTTTTCAATAATCAAATGTTGCACTACAACATCGTTTAGCAATTCAACAAAAATTTGCAAAATTTAATTCTCTCATCACAAGCTGAACTCAAAATTAAAACTTGACAACAGAGGAAGCACAATACAAGGATCACGCAGACAAACCTTCTATGCCCGAATGAAAGATTCCAACCCCAAAGACGTAAAGATAATTGTTGGCAGGTGTAAGATCATACACATTGAGATACACCATAGAACTACCCCTTCTTTCGTTATCTTGCACCCTTTCCGAGCTCGTGCTCAAGGGTAACATAGGCATTGTGTATGATTTCCTCCCTTTCTTCTCCCCCAATTCTCCAATCACGTTCCCAGCATCACAACCCCTCTTCTTCGCCTCACAAGCAGAAGCCTATAAAATTTCCCCCAAAAAAATCATTTTTTTCTCATACCCATTTACACAAACATTGCATGCAACGAAAGGGAGGGGAAAAAATGAAATTTTTTTCATCAGGGTTTTGTTTAAAAAATTTAAAAATAAGAAAGAAAGAAAAGGGTTGATTGAAATCTTTGCCTTTTATCGTACTAAGAAAATGCAGGTCAGGTTCAAATTAAGACTGTGTGATTGAATTACCCTGAAATTGTGTTGTCGGTGTTGAAATGAATAGGAAAGACATAAATCTGATGAATGGAATATCAATATTAAGAAATCAAGAATGTAGATCCGAAAAAAGGAAAGAAAAAAAAATGTTACGAGGAAAAATGAAAAGAGAAAAACTTACGAAAGCAGAAGAGGAACAGTGGAGGGAAGGGAGGGTAGATCTTGAAATTCAACTAGAATTTGGGGTGCAATTTGGACAAGAAATGTGAGGTAATGAAGCCTAAATTAAAATCAGACACAGAGACTCTGTCTTTGCTACTTCGTCCCCAAAGATAAACTACGAGTGTTTTTATGGGATTTAACTTTTCTCATTCTTAAGAAAAAAAAAATTCAAAATATTTTTAATCTTTTAAATTTATGATAAATTTATTTTTAATTTCTTAAGCCTAATTTATGATATATTTTATGATAAATCATATTTTTTAATCCTATAACATAAAAAAAATATCTTATTTTACTTCTTTTAAATTATTGGTAATATGATTGACGGTAGTTAATTGAAATTAAAGCTAATAAAATGGGTTAATTCAGTCTATTTGACCCGGCCTACTTCAATCCACTTTTTAAGTGAGGTTGATCCGACTCGATCCATCAATTTTAATATCCAAAAAATTTTCTAACTCGATTTGACCTACCATAAGTTAGTGGATTAAATGGGTTGGTCCACCAACCCACCTAACTTTTTTAAAAAGAATTTTAATTTAAAATACTTTAATTTAAAATAATATTTAATTTAAAGTAAAAATTAACAAATTAAGTATCATGCATACAACTAAGGATGACAACGGGATGGGTCGGATATGGGTTTCATGATACTCATTCCCGTCCCTACGAGTCAAACTCATCATCGTTCTCGTACCCGTCGGGTATATAATTTTCATCCTCATCTCTGCCCTCGTCGGGTATTGGGTATACTCGTACTCGTACCCATAATTTTATTTTATTTTTTTGTAAAAAAATATAATATTTTTAAATTATTTTTCTATTATATTATAATTATAATTAGGTTGTTTCTTTATCTCATATTATAATAATAATCATACATAATAAAATATTAAAATTCTTTAACATAATTAAATTGGAAGTGGGTATTAAATTGAGAATGAGAATGGGGACGAGAACGGGTATGGGGTGGGTAAGTATATACTCGTACTTGATTTAATATATCGAGTTTTACTCGTATCCGTACCTGGTCAAACCAGGTATTCCCCGTCAAAGTAGGGATGAGTTCGGGTATTACTCACTAGTACGAGTATATTTGTCATCCCTATATACAATATTAAACTTAAATTAAAAAGTGTTCAACTTTAAACAATCAAAATAAAAAAAAAAAAAAAATTCTTTCATAAGAGTGATTATTCATTAATATCAAACTTCATTGGAGGTTTGAGTAGATAAATTTATAGCAATTTCACATTTTTTAATATCGACTTTATCTTTATCTACAAAAAAATGGCATCTTGTTAAAATAATACATATATAATAATAAATGGTTAAGTAGGTTGTTAGTGAGTTGAGTTGATGGGGTGTAAGTGGGTTAGGTGGACAATTCGGCCCACCACGGGATTCAACCTAGGTGGGTCGAGTTGAAAGTGATTCGGGTTACATTTTTTTATCCATTATGAATTTTTTCATTTTTATTTTCTAATCCGACCCATTTTAAAGGTGAGCTGGGTTGACTCACAGGACAAAACCACTTTAACAACTTTAATTAAAATAGTCATAAACTATCATATGGATATAATATTATTTTTTAGTAACAATAATAATAGTAGAAGAATTTAGTACAATAATATTTAACAAATTTATTAAGAAAGATAAAAATAAATATTTTTCAATTTATATGACTAAAAGAATTAATTTTAATTTTGATGGATAACAAAATTATCTCATATTTAACAACTAAAAATAACTTTAAGAAAAAAAATCTTGTATTTTTAAAATTGTGTTTATAAAAGTGATTTATTATTCTCATAAACATGTTTTAACTTGTTCATTAAGTTAAACCCTAATATTTATTAATACACTTGTTTTCTAACCTTATTTTAATAAGTTAAATGGTAAAACTCGTGAGAAAAATTATTGAGGTGTAAAAATTTATCAAATAAGTTATTAGCTACGGTATTTATTTAAATATACATTTTATTGATGTCATAAATTTTGATTGTGAAATAGGTAGATTAACAAAATTATGAGGCGAGAGTCATGAATCATTTTTTAAGACAAAATAAGCTTAAAAAATATTCTTCCAAACTACTCAACAGTCAACAACTAATATCAATTTTTAAATATATATTTTATTTTTTACTAATTATTAATGATAGAGTTAACTTATTTTTTTTATTCATGGACATGAATTACACAATGTCTTAAAATTAATAATAAAAAAATTAATTTATGCTTGCAAAATGTAATAATATGAGTTTTATGATTGTTTATTTATTTTGTTTATTAAATGATTAAGTGATTTGTTGTTTTAAATGTTTTAAAAATTTTAAAGATTAAGAAATTTTTATGAGTTTAGTTGTTTAGGAGTTGTTTTAAGTTAGGGTTAAAGTTGACCAAGTTTAAAAGAAACTATACAAGGTTTTCTTAAAATTTGAGTTTCATAAGTTCATATTCTTAAGAAATTTGTAGAAAGGTTAGAGATAGGAGCTCTAGAATCAAAGGTATTTATTCCTTTTGTTGATCTCGTAGAGTGTATAGATCCTTTCCCAGAATTAGATTGAGTGACTGAGTAGAGATTTGAAGCTTGGAGTACTAAGAATCTGAAGTTATAGTTGTCATACGACAAAGCTCAAAGGACCTGGTTCTTCTCCCTTTTTTCTTGATTTCAAGAGACTCAAGGTAAGGAAAACTTGTAGATTTGTTTCTTGTTGTATTGTATGAGTAGTGTGGTGCTTGGAATCATCAAATTGTAGTTGTTATGTTGATTTGAGTAGTGAACTCTTTGATGTTTAGTTTTCTTATGTTTTTTGGTGAAATGAGAAGGAATTGGTGAATGTGAATCTTTGATGATTGCATGTTGTTTTTTTAGTTGGAAATGAGTTGCTTATGATGTATATATATGTTCTTGTGAGTTGCTTGTTGGTTTTGGGTTGAATTTTAGGTGATTGGAGCCAAATCGGGATTCTATCAAGTGCAAAAATTGCCATTGCATTGGGTGTAATGCAAGTCAGGGGATTTTTGCCTCATTGATTCCAAACACAAAATAGGTAGCATCGAGCATGAATTAGTTAGAAGCTCTCTGACTTGGTTACACCAGGCAGTGAGTTAATAGGTGTTGGGCATGATTTCCTTGTGAGCTCTCTGACTTAGTGATGCTAGACGCGGATTATGTAGCGTCGAACATGATCAAGTTAGTGAGTTTTTGTCTTGATGATGTTGGGCGTAGTTTGTATGGCGCCGAGGATGAATAAGACAAAGGTTTTCTACCTAGATGACATCGGGCGTGGAAGTATTCACATCAGGCATGAGTGATCCAAAGGCTTTCTGCCTCATGGACGACAGACATGGGAAAGTGGCGTTGGGCATGGATGCTAGGCGCGAGTTGACCACACCGGGCATGAGTACTTTAAAATGTTGTTGTGTAATGTGTTGTTAATGCATGAGAAGAATATTGATGTGTAGTAATGTGTTGGAAGCATGTTTTAGTGTTGAATTATGTTGATAAAATGCATGAAGTATATTGTTGAGTAGTGTTGTGCTAAGATAAGTAATTGACATGTTGTTGTGTGGAGGTATGTTTTAAATGCATTATGCATGGAGTTGTGTTATGTTGTTAACTTAGGACTAGAGGAGATATATTATTTTAAAATGTAAAATATCTCATTGTGTGGATATGTGGTGTGGTGCTATGAGGGTCCAATTATTGAAAATTCTTTTTGAGTATGGTTATCTCTTGGAATGGAGTTTTGTGTCTCCTCTAGGTCTTTGGTTATCATTTGAGTAAGGTATGAAGTCAAGGGATAAAATCCTTAATTGATTATTGCAAAAGTGTGTGGTATCACGATGAAAGTTGGGGGGATGTACTCATAAGTGACTTGGTTAATGCATGTCAATGTTGTGGTGGACCCATACCCAAGCTATATTATTCTTGATGACGAGTACCCAACTTTTCTAGTTTAAGTGACACAATCCAAGAAATCACATTGTGTTGTGGATTGATATCCAAATTTATCATTGGCCTAGTAAGCCAAAAAGGTCGGGATGTTAAGTTTGGTTTGGTAAGGTCAAGTCATTTAGATTGGTTATATATGTTATAACAAATCTCTTAGTTGAACTACGACACAACACATTGTGTTGTTGTGTTGCTATGTTATAGTGTTGTTTAAGTTGTTATGTTGTTAATTTGTTGGTTTTTGAATTTTTGTGCAGTTCATATTTATACTATAAGCTAAGATGATGGTGATAAATTGAATTGTGTGTTGTTAAGTTAAGTTGGTTGTTGTAGTGTTGATGACATGAAGTTGTTGATATAGTTGTATTCACTTTTATATTATGTGTTGTCTTGTTGTCTATAAGCTTACCCTTGCATTTTCGTTGTTGTTGAATTACGATGATTATATTATTATAGGATTAGAGCAAGGTTAGGCTGAAGGGCAAGTGGATCTTTTGAGAGCCATGTTGGAGATAACGGTATCTGGTTGTGTTGTTTTGATACAACTTGTAGTTAGTAGTTGCTTGACCAATAACTTAGAATTTATATTTGTAGTTTTGGATTATTGTAGATGTATATGTGTACAAGATTGTGTTGTAATCCCATTAAGGGACCTTTATATTTTCAATTTATTATTTCCTACACACACACACACACATATATATATATTGTTGCATGTATAACTAAGAATTGTTTGTAAGGTAATCCGTGGTAGTTAGATTTACGTTCTCATCTACTTAGAATTTTGAGCTGTAAAGTATAAGGACCTACCAAGATGTTACACTTCTATGGTATTAGAGTCAGTCAAGTCTTTTGGGAACTTTGTGAGGGTGATCCCATTATGTTTCTGTTATGAAATTATTTTGTTTTGACTATTGTGTTGCGTTGTTGTTTCTTAATAGTGTTACTTATGGGTTATTGATCTCAATATAGGATGGCTAGACCTCTATTTGATGGGAATCAGATAGTTAGGGCCATGGAAATGATGGCTTCATCTATGCATCAACAAAGCATTGCTTTTGCTCAAATGGAAGCAAATACAGTTGCAGTTAAGGCAACTAAACTAGTGATATCCCAAGAGTATAAAGGCTTGGATAAGTTTAGGAAGGATAATTCTCCTTAGTTTAAGAGCGAGGTTGATTTAGAGGTGGTTGACCAATAGATCAATGAGATGGAGAAGATTTTCAGAGTGTTGGAAAGTCCGGAGGATAGAAAGCTGACTTATATTGTATATATGTTGATTGGAAAGGTTGAGTACTAGTGGATGGTTACACAGTAGATGTTGGAGGCTAGAGGTGTGGTGGTGGACTAGGAATGCTTTAAGAGGGTGTTTCTTAAGAAGTATTTTCTAGATAGTGTAAGTTATGCCAAGGAGGTGAAGTTTTTGAGACTACATTAAGGGAGTATGGCTGTGAAAGAACATGTTATGAAATTTGAGCATCTGACTCCTTTTTATTTCCAGGCTATCTTAGAAACTTGGAGGTACTGAAAGTTTTAAAAGAGAAACACAAAGTTTGGTGAACGGTTGAGACATGAATTGAAGAGAGTGGTGGTGCCTATGACCATCACGAAGTTCCTTAACTTGGTGGAGAAAGTGAAGACAATGGAAAGATTTGAGTGTGGTGGTAGGGTGATGAAAGGAAAGGAAGGGCTAAAATGGGTCTAAGAAAGATGGCCAACAAAGGAAACCTTATGACATACCTCATCAATAATAGATTGGGAAACTTTGTTGCAAGGAAGCTTCCTACGTTTTATTGTGATGTCAAAGTGGATAAAATATGCATTTAAATGAATATTTGTAAAATTGATTTCAAATAAAATTAGTTTTAGTTAAAATTAATATCCAAATAAATTGATTTATATTTTATTATTTTTTTACACCAATGTTTTATTGTTTTTAGTTATCCTAAAAATAACATTGTATAAATTTTCGATTCAATGCAAAAGTTACTTTTATTATTATTATTATTATTATTATTAATCAAATCAAAATTTGGAGGCAAAATCAATTTTACCTAACAATAGTCAAACATTTATATTTTACCAACAAGGTGTATATACTGTATGGTGGCCGACTTGGCCGAACACCCGAACCCGCGAATAATCAGGCCGAACACCCGAGCCCGTCGATACTGAGGCCAATCACCCAAGTCTATCGACCACGTATAAACGAGGGAAACGTGTCGGTGTGGTCGGCCAATCTCAGCGCTTCTGCTAGGCTGATTACAGATAGTTTAATTAGTGTAATACATCAGATTAGCCCCCTAATTTTTCGGGGCCCAATCCTTAATCACGACCCAATACAAACACCTATAAATAGAGCCCCAACGAGGTATGTAACTAACTTTCAACTACCGCATTTATTACGCCGAGAACTAACTTGAGCGTCGGAGTGTCTTTGCAGGCACCCTCACCTCACTTCGGACCACCTGGACAAGAACGACCAGACCGAGACCCAAGACCCGACCCGCTATGACTAAGATAATTGAAGTGTGTATCCTAGCACAGGAACATTTGGCGCCCACCGTGGGGCCGAAGAGACGTTTTCAGCCCCTTTTTACTCTACGACTGAGATCAAGACATGGTAGCAACGCGCAAGGGACAATCAGCAACGACTCAACCGATCCCTAATCTCGGGAGCAATCCCGTTATGACCAACCAAGAGCGTTACCCGTACGGAATGCCTCAAACACAAACCGAACCCGTGATACAAGAGGTTCAGCCTAATACCGATCATGCCCAGCCCGACCTCCAAGACGACTTGCGCGCATTGCGCGAAGAAATGGCCGTTATCCGAAGACAAAGAGAAGCCAACGCTAGGGAGGAGCAATAAATTGATTTATAAATTAAATGAGTTAAATTTGAACTAAAATTTTTTCTACGACCTACTTTTACTTTAGGAAATTAAAAAATAGTTTAAAAACCTACTTAAAAATTTTAAAATAATTCAAAATCTTACTTGGTAATTTAATCTTTAAAAAAAAAAAAAAGACCTCGAAAATCACCGAATGCAAACTAACTAGCAATAATATTACAGGCATCGAGCATCATGGTGTATAAAGCAATTAATTAATAAAGGGTCCAGTTTCACATTTCATTACCAACCCCTAGTCAACCAATGCCAATGACCCACAGAACAGACAACGATGAACACTTGAAAAATATGTCAGAAAATAAACATAAAACCTCTACAAACTTACAACGCAGACTAGGTTCTCTACAACTGAATATTTGATGATCATCACGTGATTTGGATACAGAACAACTACAAAATCTTTTAGCCAATGGAATCCCCTGCATTTTCTGTAATACACCTATCTGAATTTTCTTTTATGTTTTTTTCCCGGCGGGGGTTGGTTACAGAGCCGATATCCTCCATTTCCTTGTAAATTCAATCTAGGATTCCAAAATTGCATGAGTGCCTATTCCACTTCCACATCTCTGAAGGATGCACCATAAAGTTTCAAGATAAACCAAATTTGGACAAGGCTGATTGGAACAATGTTGAGAATGCCTGGGATGAACTCTGGTCGTCAGCTTTTATTTTAATCTGTGACTTGGTTGATGATGTGTTGATTATACACTCTACAAGATATATTGATGTTGCTTCTGCTTTCTGAGCAAAGAAAAAGAACTTGAAGTTGGGAGACTGACCACCGGATGCAATGCAGTGTATCAAATGACTTCGCATGTGCCGCACGAGAGCATGGGGAGTTGTCAGTGATGCGATTCCTTGAGGACTTAAAGAATGTTCCTGTACCAGATTTATGAATTATATACCACATATAAACCATTCTCGACACTTTTGTTGGTTAGGGGAGACCCCTAAAAAAAAAAGAGTAGATAACAGAACAGTTCTATAGTTCAATTTTGAATTTTTGATGCATTACAAATGAAAATTAGTATATTACCGTTTTGCTATATCATCCAAATATGTGGTGCCACACATTATTTAATAAGCTTAACAACTTGTAAGATGTCAAATTCATTAAATAATGTGGCAACACATCATTGAATGGTATTGTAATTTTTTTTATAATGACAATGCATTCAAATTAAGTACATATTTGTTAGCCAAAGTTATCACACTAATGAAACTGATAATTTCAAAGCAAACCTCTGATGAAGATATTGGCAGTTGACGCCATTTCTGCTGAAATGTGCCAGGATCCAGTACAGCTTTTGAATTTAGGTTCAATGGAGGAGGTGAAGGCGTAGCTGCAGTTCCATCTGGAAAACCTAAACCAAGAAGATCATCGATTGCCAAGCTAGAAGTTGGAGCTTGACTAGATATGCCAGTAGTTGGAAATGCCAAATCTGCAAGTGGTTGTGAAGTTGCAGAAGGGGCGGATGAACCATTAAGGGAAGGAGCATAATAGGCAGAACCATTGCTACCAGGATCTCTTCCTTCATCTTTTTCTGAAGTACCTAGAAGCAGATCCTTGTCATTTGCTTCCACTCTCTGAGCTGGAACAACAGATTCTCCGGATTCTGCACTAATAGATAGATTTCCAAGTTCATCTGCAAACTCAAATGTCCCTCGGTGTTCCTTATCAGTGAACATATAAGAAGGCTGCAAGAATTTTCCGTTGTTAGTTTGACAGGTTTTGACATAGACAAGGATCAATACAACATAAACATGTTTCAAGTAACAACACTCTAAGACTTTCTAAGAACAAATGTTTTATATTTTTAGAAGGAAAATGCTAATGACACTCTCTAAGACTTTCTTTATTATTAGTTGAAACTCATCAAATTTTAGTGGATCTCATCTCACTACTAAATTGAGAGATTCATTAAATGAAAATCAAGACCAACCAAACTTTGGGATTTCAAATACATTTCAGTCAATAAAAGTGTGTTAGAAAGAGTGTGATAGATAGTGTCACCAACATTCCTATCCTTAAAATGTTAAAAATGACTTCTTATGTAAATAACAAATTGCAGCATATTATTTAGAATATCTCGTGATTCAACAGTAGAGGCTAGACTAAACATAAAACCTTCCGATGTCAGACTCATTTTACAGGGAAGAAACAGAAAAAAAAAAATTTAATGGTAAGATGAATTATTTCTTATTTTCTCCCCATTGCCATTTTATGTTTAAATTTGTTCGGTATAGCAACAAAAAATATTAAATTTAGATATGGAGTCAAGTACTTAAAATCAGTCCAAACTCAACGAATAATGTGTTCATTAACCAGTGGGGGAAGGGGGTAGATTTTAGCTACCTTTTGGTATACAACAGACAAACTGTTAAATTCATCAAATATACGATCTTTGATTTCACTGCTCTGGGTATCAGCAAATACTGAAACTGCTTGCTTTGGAGGACTGACCACATTCTCTGCCACTGATACATTGTATTGCAGAAGCCTGTAATAAAATAAGGCCCTATCATGAACATCCTGCAATCAACAGAAAGCTTATTTAACTTACCACTGTGATACAAGAAAATAATCAAACATCTCATTGTTTTGATCATTCAAAGTAATATGTAGCAGCAATTCAAACCTGGTGAAAATCAGCAAGACCAGCAGCCAAAACAGCTCCTAATGCTTTTTGAGTTTCAGGGGGTCGCTTAAAGAAACACTTCATAACTGCAGTAAGAAGATGTAAGCGAACCTGCATCATGAGACAGCAGCTGTTCAAAATATAATAAAGTAAACATAAATAAAAACTAATATCCTATTGCAATACTAACAATAGATACCACTAAATAATCTCTATGATAAAACAATGGTTTCATGATTAACATGCAACCACCAGGAGGGGGTATCAATGACGTATGCATTTCTTTATTCATTACAATGATAGAATTATGACAATTAAATTAGGACCACTGTTAGGATATAGAATAAAGGGAATTAGAATAGTTATTAGTTAGAAAGATATCATGGGCTAGGCCCATCACATCTATAAATAGGAGGTTACTTGGTAGAGGGGAAGATTCAGATTTGTTCACATTTGTAAATTGAGCATTAGCTCTTTGTGAAAGGAGAAATCCTTTGTGAAGGGGAAACCCTTGGAGGAGATATTTCTCTCCTATTTTTTTGTTCTTTTCAACATATTCAATAAAATCTTTCTTTTCTTTCTCTTTCCTAATTCTTGGTTCCTAACAACCACATTGAAATCCAAACCCAACAATGATTCCATGGAAGACATTCGTACTCTTGGTATGTCTGGAGAGGGATGCAAAGGCTGATCAATGCCTCCTTTGTTCTCCATGAATATATGAAGACAGCAGTTAATGTTTTGTATTATATTGTTATTGCCAATGCAGGGAGGAGTTATTGAAGCAGAGGGGAGGGGGAATTCTCAAGTGTCAAAAGAATAAGAGAATAATGTTTGTGAATATGCCTTTGCCATAAAATCAGCTGGACACAAAAAGATTAAACCTACTAAAGAATTTTCTAATTGAAGACAAAGAGAAGCCGACGCCAGGGAGCTGGCCGAACTGCGCCGCCAGAACGCCGAGCTTCGAAGCCTCAACCAGACATATGCGCCGACATCTCCCACTCTCCAGGAGGAATCGGCGTATCATGTCCCGACCGACCATGTAACTCGAACACCGGCCACCTCTTTGGTGGCCAACAAGGCCGACACCCATACTCACTCCCTGAGGCATCCTTTCTCTCGAAGAATAATGGAGGCGACCCTATTGGACCACTGGAAAAGTATACCGATCGACAAGTATGATGGGTCAACCGACCCCGAGGAACACTTGAATGTTTTCTTGACTCAAGCAACCCTCTCCACTCAAGACGACTCGGCTCTGTGCCGAATATTTCCCACGTCACTGAAGGGTAGGGCTTTGAGTTGGTTCACGAGGCTGCTGAACTCCTCCATTGATTCATTTAGCGAGTTATCATCCCAGTTTACCCTGCAATTCGCGACGAGTAAGCCGTACAGGACGACCTCGTTGGCTTTGGCGGGGATTCGACAAGAGAAGAAGGAAAGTTTGAGAAGCTTTATGGACCGGTTCAACAAAATCGCCATGGAGATAGGTGATCTTAACCCGGCCGTGGCCTTGGACCGGCTGATCACCGCTCTGAAGCCGGGGCCCTTTGTGAATAGCTTATGTAAGAAACCACCGGTCGACATGAATGATCTCCGGCGCCGAGCCGAGAAGTATATGCAAATGGAGGAGCTGGCGGAGACCCGAAACCAAGCTAGGGTTGAGGAGACTTACAGCAGGAAGGAACAAGGCCGGGAGCCCATGAAAAAGACAAATGCCGACCCCTCGAACGCTCGCCCGCCGAGAGGACCGCGCTACACAGCGTATACTCCTCTCAACGCGAGCAGGGCCAAGGTATTGGAGCAGGCCCTAGCATCTGAAATACTGGTGATGCCCAAGCGGGCGAACACACCTCCAAGGGCCGACACGGCTAAGTCGTGCCGATTCCATCGAAACCGGGACCACTCGACAGAAGAATGCTCCGCGTTAAAGGATAAACTTGAGGACCTCATCAAGCAAGGTCACCTCGGAAAATTTGTGAGACCACAAGATCAAACAAGAGGGAGAGATCAACGCCCTCGAGAGGCACCAATGACAGGACACCGACGCCACAGGTCTCGATCAACCGAGAGGAGAGATCACACACGAGGTTCCCGTGAAGACAACAATCGGCCGGGGAAGATAATAAACACAATAGCTGGAGGTTTCGCTGGGGGAGGTTCCACATCTTCTGCCGGGAAAAGACATCTCCGAGCTGTACGATCGGGAAATAGCGTTAATCAGCAGAGAACACCGCAGATGCCTCCGATCACTTTCTCTGACCGAGATTTCCGTGGTGTCGATCCCGTCCAGGACGTCCCCATGGTAATTTCCGTGGAGATGCATAATTGCATCGTGAAGAAGACATTGGTCGACCAGGGGAGCTCTGCCGACATATTGTACTGGAACACGTTTAAGCAACTCGGGATCCCAGAAGAAAGCCTAGAACCGTACCACGAGCCTCTAGTAGGATTCTCGGGCGAAAGAGTGATGACGAGAGGGTGCATCGACTTGTACACTCGCTTCGGATTCGACCAGAAGTCCTCAAGAGATATTAAAATCCGATACATCGTGGTGCATGCGAACACATCATACAACATCCTACTAGGACAACCTTCAATTAATGCTCTAGGAGCAATTGTCTCGACCCCCCACCTGTGCATGAAATTTCTGTCGAGAGACGGGCAAGTAATCACTGTGCATGCCGACCAGAAAACAGCAAGGGAATGCTACCTCTCTAGCTTGAAAGTGCAGCCCATCTCCGAACCCCCGACGACGACAAAAGGCGTGAACATGGTCAGACAAGAGATAACCGACGGCATCGACCTCGACCCCTGGTTATGGGAAGACGAGCGGATCGAAGCCGTCGAAGACCTAGTCCCATTCCAGCTTGGTCGAGTACCCAAACAGGTCACGCATTTGGGGTCCCAATTGAGTGAAATCGATGCGAACCAGGTGAAGCAAGCAGTCCGAGACAATAAAGACTTGTTTGCATGGACGGCATCGGACATGCCAGGGATAGATCCAAAGTTCTTGTGTCACCGACTAGCCGTATGCCGAGACGCCCAGCCAGTTGACCAAAAGAAGAGGAAAATGGGAGATGAGAAGAGAAAAGCTGCGAACGCCGAGGTGCAAAAACTGTTACAAGCAAAGTTCATTCGAGAGGTCACCTACACCACCTGGCTAGCTAACGTGGTGTTGGTCAAAAAGTCGAATGGGAAGTGGAGAATGTGCACCGACTACACCGACCTTAACAAAGCCTGCCCCAAGGACGCTTATCCACTCCCCTGCATCGATCGACTCGTTGACGGCGCATCCGGACACTCTATTTTCAGCTTCCTAGACGCATACTCAGGTTACAACCAAATAAAAATGTACCCGGTCGACAAAGAAAAAACGGCGTTTATCACTGAGAACGCCAACTTTTGTTACAAGGTGATGCCGTTTGGATTGAAGAACGCCGGGGCAACCTATCAAAGGTTAATGGACAAAGTCTTTCGGGGTCAAATCGGTCGAAACATCGAGATTTATGTGGACGACATGGTGGTGAAGTCCAACTCCATGGCCGATCATGTAGCCGACCTGACCGAAATATTTGGTGAATTGCGCGAGCACAATATGAGGCTCAACCCCGAGAAATGTACCTTCGGGGTCAGGGGAGGCAAATTTCTAGGTTTCATGCTATCGGCAAGAGGCATTGAAGCAAACCGAGACAAATGCCAAGCTGTGATAGATATGCGAAGCCCGAGCAACCTCAAGGAACTGCAACGTCTTTCAGGAAGATTAGTCGCCTTGTCACGATTCCTCCCGCGTCTAGGCGACAAAATTAGCCCGATGACAAAGATTTTGCAAAAGGCCTCAGCCTTCTCGTGGGACGAACCATGTGAAGAAGCCTTCATGGCATTGAAAGCAGCACTAGCGACGCCACCGATCTTAACGAGACCTGATCCTTCGAGGCCACTTTTGGTATACCTGGCCGTGTCCGAAGATGCGATCAGCTCGATTTTGGTGCAAGAAAAAGAAGGCACCCAAGCTCCTGTATACTTCGTTAGCCGACTCTTGCAGGACTCCGAAACCCGGTACCAGCTGATAGAGAAGGCGACACTCGAATTAGTGCACACATCCCGACGCCTCCAGCATTATTTCCAGAGCAACCGAGTTGTTGTCCACACCGACTACCCAATTTCGAAAGTCTTAGGCAAACCTGAGCTTGCCGGGAGAATGATGGCTTGGTCGATCGAGCTCTCGCAGTTCGACATCACCTTCAAGCCGAGAGGGCCGATCAAAGCTCAATGCTTGGCTGACTTCATGAACGAGCTACACCCTCAGGGACAGTTCGAAGAGCACTGGTGGACCCTCCATGTTGACGGTTCTTCAAATTGCCGAGGAAGCGGAGCATGAGTAATTCTCGAAGGACCCAAAGGGATAGTTTTCGAGCAATCCCTTCGCTTTCGGTTCAAAGCCTCGAACAACCAAGCCGAATATGAAGCCTTATTGGCTGGGTTGAGACTAGCTGAAGACATGGGTGCTTCGCGACTTAAATACTTGACCGACTCTAAGGTGGTGGCCGAGCAAGTGGGTGGTAACTTTCAGGTTAAAGATCACAACATGATGAAGTACTACCATGCCTATCAGAAGTTAAAGGCAAAGTTTCAAGAGGTGTCAGTCAACCACATCCCGCGCGAGGATAACGCCCGAGCCGACCAGTTGGCTCGGCTGGCCGCAACCAAGAAGCCGGGCCATTTGAGAACCATCATTCAATAGGAGATTGACCGCCCAAGTGTCGAGACGGAAACAGTCGCAAACGTCGAGGCCGACTGTGCCGAAATTAATGACCCTCCAGACTGGCGAGATGAAATAAAAGCATTTCTCACCAATGGAATCACACCAGCCGAGCCGGTCGAAGCCAAACGATTGAGAACACAAGCCAGCAGATACGTTGTCATCGCCGATCAACTGTACAGACGTGGCTTCTCTACCCCATTGCTAAAGTGTCTAAACACCTCCGACGCCGATTACGTGATGAGAGAAGTGCACGAGGGTATCTGTGGAATGCACTCGGGAGCTAGGACGACCGCTACTAAACTAGTGCGAGCTGGTTATTACTGGCCGACCATGGGCACCGATTGTGCCACGTTTGTAAAGAAGTGCCAACCTTGTCAAAAACACGGCAACT